GAATTGACGAGATTGATTTGGGATTGACGAGATTGATTTGGGATTGACAAGACTGATTTGGGATTTATGAGATTGATTTGGGGTTGACTTGAGATTGACTTGGGATTAATTTGGGGTTGACTTGAATCTGGCTCATAGGAATCCACTCTTTATAATGGTGTTAGTCCCAACACGATCCATTGTACCCTTCAACAAACTACGATTAATACAAGCTCGGGTTTAGCATACTCCGTGAACTGAAGGGACTCCATGGCAAGATTATTTTGATACCCCACTGTTAAAAATTCTGCATACCCATCACTACACAATTATTCCCTCGCAGCCTAAGCCACGTTATCCAAGGAAGTCAGGTATCTGTCATTCCAAAAACCTGCTAACTCAAGAGCCATTCTTGTAAGCCGTCTGTTTCTCCAGGAAATGTTTACTTAATTACTTAACCCTTTGAATACTTAGAACATGAGAGTCTGTTAAAAAATCAACAGCAAGATGGAGGTGTTTCGATTTTCGGAATTCTACATTTCTGCCATCTTTTTAGACCAGTGTTGGCACCTCGGCAGCTTTATGATATGTGGACTTCAACTCCAAGAATTCCCCAGTATTCTGGGAGTTGAAGTCCACTGTCATGCCCCTGTTGGAATCTGATTCCGAGGGCGGGATCGAGCAGCTGACAGGGAGTGGGAGCGTGGCTCCGTTGGCTGTGGAGGAAACTGGGGAAGGGCACAGTCCGGCTGGGCATTCAGAGGAAGACCCAGGCCCACCCCCTCCTCATCCTAGGCCCGCAGGGAGGAATGGAGAAGGGAGCAATGTGGGTTATGCGGGAGGAAAGGGCCCTGATTCCCTTCATTAGCTGCAGCTGGGAACACAGGATTTAAAAAGGGCGTTTGCGCACAGCACCTTGCTGGAAGCAAAGCGTGCATTATCTTTGTTTGTCAAGTCCTATCTGGGTTCTGGTGTCCTCCCAATTGTGTGTGTTTTGTTATCTTTTGAAGTCTGCAATTTCTTATCCTGCCCTGCCTCATTAATTGCTTCAGTGGGGTTTGTGTTAGTTTTTATTTATAATTTAGATGTGCTTTGGGTTCGGACTGAATTTCTTTCCTTTAAACACTGTTCTTGGGAGAGTTTTTTTTCTCCAGCTGATGATAACTGGACATTGGGGGCCAAGTTGGGGGAATTAAAAGGACTTTACCTACTTTTGTGACTGTTGCTTTTGTGCCACGCCCCTTTGGGTCATCACATCCACACACCTGAAAGCTGCCAAACTGAAGAACCGCTGTTTTAGAGAGCCCAAATAGGAGGCGAATAGAGGTCTGCAAGCTTCTGAGTTGTGTTGCACCTTGTTTTAGGTTTTTGTTTTTGTAGGCCAGGAGTTGATAAGCTTATCACCAATCCAGTGTTCCTGTCTCTGGTTTTGTTGATCCAGTGGGCCACAGGAGTGGAGAAGATTGGGCTCAAGAGTTGGGTTTTTGTGCCCCGGCTGAAAGATTCACTCCAAGTCCTCCACAATGGAGGTTTTAAAGAAGAGTTTGTCTGAAGTGGTGTAGGGTTTCCTGCTTGAGAATTCTTCCAACTCTCGGTACTCTGTTTTTTCCCCCAGCATTGCAAATCCAGGAGGCGGGTCCCGACCTAGCCGGCTCTGTAAGGCCGCCATGTTGAAATCCTTCCGGAAGGTGGCCCAGGAGATGAAGAGAGAGGACTTGACGTTGCTATTGCCGTATCACGAAGCCAAGGTGAACCTTTGAACCTGATCTTCATCCTTCAGGTCTCTCTACAGCAGAGGGTCTCCAAACTTGGCCACTTTTAAGACTTGTGGACTCCCAACTCCCAGAATTCTCCAGCCAGCTCTGCATTGTACACACAATCCCACCTTGGGTGGATTTAATTCAAAAATTTAATTAATGTTTGTACAGTGCCATATGAATGCAACATCAGGGGTTTTCAATTCAATGTGTAGGATGCGTGTTTGTGTTTATTTTCATAGCCCTAATGTACACTGAAGATGGTATTTAATTTTGTTGTGCGAGGTGCAAGGACAATAAAAGTAAACTAAACTGAATTCAAGAAACCACGATTAAGCAAATACTTGTACAGTTTTCACCAGTCAGTGTGGCCTTTTGCTTCTTGGATCAATGAAAATGGAACCCCAAGTTGAGTGTCTCTTGAATGTTCCTCTTAAGACTTGTGTTTTTCAACCTGGGCAACTTTAAGAGCTGTGGACTTCCTCTCCCAGAATTCCCCAGCCAGCATTTTTCTAAGATGTGTAGACTTTAATGCTAATTGGGGAATTCTGGGAGTGGAATTCCACACCTCTTAAAGTGGCCAACTTTTGAGAAACAAAAGTCTTAAGAAGAACATTGAGGAGATACTCACTCTTTGCTTCTCTTTTCCTCTTTTCCAGGTTCAAGCCACAACTTACCAGCGTGCAAAACTCCAACTATACACCCACTTGAGTGTACGGAATTTGAGCAAGTGGCCTCAAAAGCAGTTGGTGGACAGTTTTTGCAGATAGACTGGCTTGGGTAGCTGAAGATCCCCTCCAGCCAATGGATAGGAGCAAGTTCCAGTGAGATCTTGTTCTCAGTTTCGTTCCCTAAATTATGGGATTGTTGATGTTTAGTGAGTTTCGACCCAAGATTTGTAAAACTAGCTGGTTTCAACAAGCCGGAAGTATGGTGAACTACAATTTTTGGTTTCAGGCCTAATGTTCAGAGAAGATGAAACTGGTGAGCAGAAATGGAGGCTGAACTCGTAGGTCTTCCTTCAAGCAAAAGACCCCCTGAATTTATCTAGAACAGGCGTCTCGAAACTTGGCACCTTTAAGACTTGTGGACTTCACCTCCTAGAATTCCCCAACCAGCTTCTGAGAGTTGAAGTCCAGCAGTCTTGAAAGGTGCCAAGTCTGGAGACGCCTGTTCTAGAATCTGGATCTGTAATGTTTTGCACTGGTGTGGCACTTAATACCTGAAAAAGTCACACCAATATGTGAGAGCAGAGCATCACGAAGAAATACTGCGCTGCCTTTGGAAAAACCCACATACTTCCAAAGAGCAAATTTTGAAGTTATGTTGAGGGTGGATTTTTTTAAAAAAAAATCTATAAAACTATATTCACGTATGTTTACATTTTGCAGATGGAACTCTTCTTTCAGAGTTAGCAGTAGGATCCAGACAACCAAGTAGGGCTGCTTTTAAGCAAGCTGTAGTCTTGTTAGTTTCAATTTTGCACCTCTTGTTAAGTTTCAGAATTGCCCCTGGGGAAATTTCAATGTATGCAGATCTTTTTTTTAAGAGATATGTTATTTATTGATGCTTGTTTGGAAATGCGTTTTCTCTGCTGCTGTTTTTGTAGGCCAAACTTGACTGCCCACTATTCCAATTTAGAACGTGTTGGTTTCAGACATTTGAGTACCTTGCTGTGTCTTGCTCCAAAGTGCTACACAACATCAAGACCTTGTTGGAAGTTGTGCTGAGCCCAGCTGTGGTTTGTTTGGCTTTGTCTGAATACAGGGTGAGGCCCTCTCAGTTGTGTTTCATTCAATAAAACCGTAATTAAGCAAACTGGGATTAACGAGCAGTTGTGGATATGTTCAACATCTTCTTCCCTTGCAGATGTTGGGGTGGTCTGAGAAGTGTGGAGGTCTGGAATTAGAGCCAACCCAGGGGTGCAGGTGGCAACACACAAAGACTAAAATGGGGAGCAGAATTATGCGAATTCGAGAGGAAGAGCCAAACAGCTGGATGGAAGCATTCAGCTTGGGAAGTAAAAAGCAAGAATTGCCCCCCAAAACAATGGAGAGGCAGGAATCCCAGGATGAGAGATTGGATTAGGATTTCAGGTGGGGACCCCAATTTTCACATCGTTATCCTGCTCTTCGAGGTTATAAAAATGGATGGATGGATAATATATTGGATGGATGGATGGGTAAGAGATAGTGAAGAGAGATGATAGGTGGATGAATGGATGAAAAAGAAGAGGTGATAGATGGATAGGTAAATGGAGAAGGGAGAAAAGTTAGCTGATAGATATAGATATAAAAGATAGGATGGATGGATGGATGGATGGATGGATAGAGAGGTAGAGATAGATAGATAGATAGATAGATAGATAGATAGATAGATAGATAGATAGATAGATAGATAGAAAGAAGATAGATCCATTAGATATAGATAGATGATGGATGATAGGTAGAATAATAAGAGGATGGATGGATAGGTGGATGGATGGATGGAGGTATATAGAATGATGCTAGGGTGAATGAATGATTGGGTAGATGGATTTATTAGATAATACTTGCTAGATATAAAATGATGATAGATGATGGATTAAATAGATGGATGAATGGATGGATAGTGCTTTGTGGATGAATGGAGTTCAACCTACCATTTTGAGGTTAGGGTTAGGACTTCAGAGTAGCCAGCATTGGTGGGAGGATGACATGCAAACCGGGAGCAACTGCATTGCTGCAGCAGCCCCAGAGGAGAGTCCTTGGGGGTGAACGATCTTAAATCAGGAAGTGTCCCCCCCCCCGTCCCGTCCCCCCCACGAGGCATCCTCACCCTCCCAGCCAGCCTCACTTCTGCAGACCCAGGGGAGACACCCCCCCCCCCGATTTCTTCCTTATTGACCTAGAGAGAGCCAGGTGTGAGGAAAGAAATGGATTTATTGAACACATACAACGTGGGTAAGGAGCCAAGGGCGACAGCATCGGTTACCACAAGGGTTTTAAAATGGGCAGGAGGACATGAAATTTTTTTTTGGGGGGGGGTCTAAAAATCATAGCGGATCTAAAAAGGGGGCAAATAGATCAGAAGTCATGCAAATGGGGTCTGCCAGCTCAATCCCCCCTCCTTCCCCCCCCCCCAGTTGTGCTCCCAATTGGCCTGTGCGCCGGCTGCATTATTGGATGCGAAATGGCTCTCGTGCCACGGAAAGTTAAGTGGACAACCTACGTGACTCCAGTGGGACTTCCTTACCTGCCAAAATCTCTCTGAGATCCTCAATGGATTTCTGGAGATTTTATCTGGCAAGGCCTCACTTTAAAAGGTGTGGACTTCAATTCCCAGAATTCCCTAGCTGCCCATGAATTCTGGGAGTTGGTCCCAGAGTCCCCCATTATGAGGGCAGAGCTAGAGATGCGCGGTTCTTGCTTGAGTTTGAAACCACACAGAGTTTTTCAACCGTGACAACGCTAAGGGGTGGACTCCAACTCCCAGAATTCCCCAGCCAGCATGCTGGATCCACACATCTTAAATTAGCAGGACGGCTGGGGAATTCTGGGAGTCGAATTCTTAAACTCTTAAAGGGACCAAGGTTGAAACCTGACTTAATGTCTTCGTTAAATGCAGCAAAACAACATTTTGGGATGAAAAACCAAGTTTGCCCAGTAACAATACATCAGTCCAACATTTTCTGCTTTGCGGGCAGATAAGAGGGTTATGGATCACGAAATCGAAGGAACTGAATGAAAGAGAAGCATTTTGCATGCATGAATGATTTGCAGCTCTCACAAAACTTCTCTTTCCTCCACATGACAAACAGGTGTGTGGCTTTTTCCCTTCCTGTTCGCACCACCCTCCATCCTCCAAGCAATAACCTTGGGCAGAGCTACTGGCGGATGGATTCGCACGACCGTTTTAACCTGAGTAGTTACAAATCATGCAACTGCACGTTCTCTTTAAAGTTGGTTTCCTTTTAGTCTGTAACCTTGGTTTGTTGTTTAGGACTTAGCACGTCGTTTGGTTAAGGTACGATTCAGCCCAGTGCCTGAACTTAAAAAAAAGATGCATTTTTTTTAAATCAAAAAGATTAAAACAAACTGTGAAGTCACTCTGCTGTGGAAGTTAAATTGACTCATTCAGACCTATGACCGCTTGGAGGCAGGAAAAACAGGGCATATGGGCTGGAAATAAAAACCTAAATATGAGTTTCGTTGCACCCTTGTGGTGCACGGGTAAAAATACCCAGGAAAAGGGGTTTGTAGGTTGAAAAAAACGACTATGCTAGTATTCACAAGGAGTGTGAATTTCAGGTTTACAGATCTGATGAACAGAGATTAAATATCTGTTTTTTCCTGGCTGGTATTTAGCTTGCTGATTTTAGGACTTTTATTCCCAAGAAAAGGCTTGTGAGACTCAAGGTTTTCTTGAATCGATATTCTTCCCACAAATTTGGGGGTGCTTTCATGTTTGGGCAAGTTTACACTAGAAAAATCAAGCGAGGCCATTTTCCGATGTGTGGACTTCAACTCCCAGAATTCCCCAGCCAGAAAATGACCAAGCTTGAAAAAAACATTGGTGTATGTTACCAATAATTTTAATTACCAATACCTTTTAATTCAAAAGCTTAGCTTTTTTTTCCTTAGGGAATCTTAAATTCAGGGGAAGTAGGCAAACAATGGAAAGTGGGGAAGGAGGGGAAGCAAATTAAAAACATTCCCAAGTTACGACGGACCATCTTCACGGCCGTTAAAACCATAGAGAAATATTTGCCATACAATTTTAGTCTCCCCCCAAGTGAGGAGAAAACTGGCCCTTAAGAAAGAGGATGGAGAGGAGGGGGAGAGACTATTTGGGGGGGGGGGCGCTAAGGGTCTTCAACCATTAAAAAAAGGGGGGGGGGGTAAACGGGGGGGGGGGGGCGGGGCCCCCCCCCCCAATGTGAAGTGTAAGAGAGGGCATGCTGTACATATAACAGAATAATAGAGTGGGCAAGGACCTTAGAGGACTTCTAGTCCAACCCCCCTGCCCAATCAAGAAACTTATGTCGTGGGGAGGAGAGTCTGTGAGTTTCTCCTGACTGTGCTCCAACTTGGCCGCTTTCTGGACGGTGAGATGACCACGGCTGGACAGTGCAGGGGTCAGCCCTCTGGTCCAGGGCATCCCGATGGCGGAGGAGAGGTGGATGAAGGACAAATGTCCAAAGTCCAGAAAAGTGCAACGGAGCCGGCGCAGACCAAGCCAAGGTGACGTTTACGGTCAGGTATCTGCAAGAGGTAAGCTGGGCGGGGCTTCCCAGGGCTGGCATGTCCCCCTTCCTGGGGCCCCCCCTGAAACCTGCCCTCCGTCGCTCCGTGGGTGGTGGCACCTTAGCAGCATCCTCTGCCCCCGTCTTCCCCGGTCCCTGCACCGTCCTGCCGTAAGGGGCCGCTCTGGATGTGGATGGCCGATTTGTGGCTGTCGTTCTGCGTTGGGCCGCTGCTGACCCGGTTCTTGATCTCGGCCGCCATGGTCAAGAAGGCCTGCTCCACATTGGTGGCATTCTTGGCACTGGTCTCCAGGAAGGGCACGGCCAGCGAGTCGGCGTATTCCTGCGTCCGGAGTAGGGCAGAGTGAGAGCCCCTCACAGTCCTCGTTTAATGGACGGGCCTCATGGAAGGACCGGTTGCTCAGCCGCCAAAGGTTGGCAGACCTCTCCAGAGCTAGCAGTTTTATTCATTTCTACCCGGCTTTTTAAATTATTATTTTTATAAAATAACTCAAGGTGGAGAACGTATCCAACACGCCTCCCTCTTCCACTTTTCGCCATAACTACAACCCTGTGAGGTGGGCTGGGCTCAGAGAGACGGGGGAGAGGAGGAGGAAGGGGACAGGGAGGGGGAGGGAGAGAGGGAGGGGGAGAGAGGGAGAGAGGGAGAAAAGAGACTGGCCCAAAATCACCCATCTGGCTTTTATGTCTAAGGCAGGACTAGATCTCACCGTCACCTGGTGATCAGCCCAAAATCACCCATCTGGCTTTCATGCCTAAATCAGGACTAAAATTCACCATCGCCTGGTACAGCACTGTAACCTTTGTAACTCATTGCATTAGATATAAAATCTATTCACTTGGTCAGGATATTTGTATTTTAACTTGATGTAAAGATGGGGGACTTGTAACTTCAGGTAACACCGTCTTGCCCCCGACTTACTACTGGGAGTTGTGGTTGAGCAGGGTCGTAATTTGGCAGTTCCCTTCAACCACATCTGGATCTGTTTCACGTCAACACTGGATCAAACCTGGGAGAGTAACCCGCCCCTATCCCTTCCCCTCCCTCCCTCCCTCCTTCCTTCCCTCCCCTCAAACGCA